TTTCCACACTCATTTGGCTCACCCTTCTTTGGGATGGGAACAAATATAGATCTCTTCCAGTCAGTTGGCCAAGTGGTTGTTCTCCAGATGTCTTGGCACAACTTGGTGAGCACAGGCATGACCTTTCAGAAAACTGGAGATGAGCTTGTTCTTATACTGTAACTATGGAGGTTTGTGTGTGTATGTGTGAAAAATTGGAAATTATAATCATTTCAAAAGAAGGAAGGTTAAATACGGTAGGAGAATAAAGATGCAAAATATATACACACATAAATAGATTTTGAGGCATTGAGTAACATGATTATGAGGCTGACAAACTCCACAATTCATGGGGGGTATGGTAGACTGGAAATTGTAGTCATCTATGTCCCATATGTGTAGATCAGACAATGCAAGGGATAGAAGAATTCTGGCAATGTCTCTTTATAGTTTGGAGGCAAGATTCACCCTTAAGAAACTTAAAGGTTTTCTTTCCAGTATGTGTAAATGCAGTCCTGGGAGTAACTGAGTAATCAAAATGATTGGCTGCTAACCAACAAAGTTGGCAGTTTGAGTTCACCCAGAGGTGCTTTAGAAGAAAGAACTGGCCATATACTTCCCCAAAATGAGCCACTGTAAGGTATGGAACACCTCTATTCTGATATACTTTTGGTCACCATGAATTAGAATCAAATCATCAGCAACTAATACGGTCTATCTAATACATATCATTTATGAAAGAAAATGAAAATGTTTCATTTATAAACTGTATTATCTTACAAAACATGACATTTTTATTTATCTTAATGATACATAAAAATATTTTGAATGCAGGAAGAACGAACCAAGCTAGTAAAGGAGCTTTCTTCCCTTCGACACCAACAGGAACAGCTCAAGGCGGAAGTAGAAAAATATAAAGAATGTGACCCACAAGTAGTGGAAGAAATACGTAAGTTGGTACCACAACTTTAGGATTTTTAACTTTGCTAATGATGAAGACTTTAGTTGAGAACCATTCCCCATGTATGTTAGAAAATAAACCCAGTTAAAATAGTGTCCTGGCTCTGTACTCTAACGGTGCTCTTGCAGCATAATGGGGAAATATTGCGTTAATATTTCTGTTGAAGTATCTTAATTTATTGACCACTGACAGATTGGAAATTATTTCAAAAGTAGAGAAATTATGAGCAGGTGGCGTTACGTTGTTGTTGTTGTTATGTGCCATCGAGTCACTTGCAATTCGTAGCGACCCTAAACTCTGCTCTGTCCTGTGCCAATTGCACCGTCTCTGACACTCCCATCCCGATTATCCCAGTCACTGAATCAATCCACCTCATAGAGGGCCTTCCCTTCCTGCGCTGTCCCTCCACCCTCCCAAGAATGAGGTCCCTCTCCAAAGACTGGTCCCTCCTTACAGCATGTCCAGAAGCCTTGCCTCCAAAGAGCTGCCCGGTATAACCCTTTCCGGGATGAATCTGTTTGTTTTCCTAGCAGTCTATGGTACCCTTAATACTCTGCTCCAGCACCACAGCTCAAAGGCATCAATTCTCCTTCTATCCTCCTTAGTCACTGTCTAACTCTGTGATGCATAATGATAGCAAAGACCATGGCCTGTATCAGATGCACCGTAGTCTCCAGAGAGACACCATTGCTTTTCAGTACTTTGGAAAGGTCCCTAACAGCAGACTTTCCCATGGCAATACATCTTTTAATTTCCTGGCTACTGGTGCCAAGAGTGTTGACCGTGGAGCCAAGCAGACTAAAGTTGTTAACAATCTCAATCTCTTCACCATCCATCCTGATGCTGCCAATTGGTCCAGTGGTGAGAATCTTTGTCTTCTTGACATTGAGCCTTAATCCATATTGGAGGTTGCAGTCTTTGACCCTCTGTAGCAAGCGCTTCAGGTCCTCCTCAATTTTAGCAAGCAGAGTTTTGTCATCTGCATAACACAGATTGTTGCTAGATCTTCCATCAATCCTGCACATTTCTCCTCATAGAGCCAAGCCTCCTGGATAATCTGTTTTGCATACAGATTGAAAAGGTATGGAGACAGGACACATCCCTGGCATACACCCTTCCCAATTTTGAACCATGCAGTGTTTCCTTGCTCTGTTCTGATGACTGCCTCTTGGTCAAAGTATAGGTTTCTCATTAGAACAATCAAGTGTTCTGGGATTCCCATTCCTCTCACAGTTTGTTATGATCCACACAGTCAAATGCCTTTGCATAATCAATGAAACACAAGTATACATTCCTCTGATATTCCCTGCTTTCAGCTAAGATCTATCTAACATCAGCTATAATATCCCTATTACCATGACCCGTTCTAAACCCAGCCTGGACTTCTGACAGTTCTCTGCTGATGTGTTGTTCCAGTCGTTTTTGGATAATCTTCAATAGACTCTTGCTTGCATGTGAAATCAATGATATTCTGTAGTTTCCACACTCGGTTGGGTCACCCTTCTTTGGGATGGGAACAAATATAGATCTCTTCCAGTCAATTGGCCCAGTGGTTGTTCTCCGGAGTAGGATTAAGATGTAAAATATAAACTCCATCAGTGTAAACCAAAGGCTTAAGGTTTGAATCCATCAGCACCTCTCAAGGAGAAAGATGGTCCACCTCTTCCTGTGTGATTTACAGCCTCAGAAACCCAATAGACCATTAAATGAGTCTGTTCCAACCTGATAGCAAGTGTTTCAGTTTATATACAAATCCACATTCTTTACTTACCAACTTTCTCACTAGACATTTCATAGTTATGTCCATAATAAAATTTCCACTTTCCAGTTATTTTGCTCATTAACAACGTACATCATCGGAACAAATGCTCAGGTAAGGTTGTGAGGCTGTAATGGTTAGTCATTTGTCATCTTGGTTTTGGTTATCATTCTACATGCTTTGGCAGTTTTGTTATGTGATTGTGATTTTGTAATTTCATCACCCTTCATTTTTGCATAATGTTAATTTTCACTTAACACATTGCCGCAAATGATGGCAAAATGTGTTTCTAAGCACAGTCCTTAATTTAAGTGTGCGGCAATGTGTTAATGACCTTGTCTTTGAAACCTAATCACGTTAATAAGTAAGGAATGAAGCATGAATATACATCTGTATGTATATAGAAAGAGACTGATATTTGAGGAACTAGTTTACACAATTACAGAGGCTGATGAGTCTAAAATCAGCTAGTAGAAGTGACTGGAAAGTCTAGTAGTCTTGTCCTAGAAGGGTAGGTTAGATGATGTTGGAGAATAGAGGAATTCTGGCAATATGTCTCTTTGTGATTTAGAGGCAGAGTTTCCCTTTAGGCATCTTCTGGTTTTATTTTTTTTTTATTTTTAAGTATTTCAATCAATTCAGGATCTCTGTTGATTTCGTATGCAACATAGCAAGCTGCTAACTGAACGATCAGTGATTCAAGTCCACCATTCACTCTGTGGGAGCAAGATGGGCAGTTCCCTCCTATAAAGATTCACAGTCTCAGAAATCTAGGGAAGTGTTGCTATGAGTCAGAATTGACTCAACAACAGTGCCTTTTGAGGAGTTCACTTCATTTAATAAGGCTCATCCACATTTGGAGGATAATCTGCTATGCTTTATGCCAACAAATTCAAATATTCACCACATGTAATTCCTTCATAGTAACATCTACACTAGTATTTTCCAAAACCACAGAACACTATAGGTTAGCTAAGCTTCCTCATAAAATTAACCATCACGTCCTTCTGTCCCACTACAGAAGGTTGAGTACCCTCAGGAGGATCTAGAGGTTGAAGTGGATTGTCCGGCTGGAATGAAGATAATGTGACCACTGTAGGTAGACCTGGAGTCTGAGCTATGATTTGTTCCTCAGTTGCAATAAATTTATTCTCTTTAAGGGATTCTGGAGGCTGCACTAGGGCATCTTGTTGTGTTGGAGTATGCCTATCACAGGTTCAATTGATATTTTTGGCAACATGTAATGAGCCTCAGGCTGGCCCAGAGGTCAAATTTTCACTGTTATCATGTAATGAATGTAGAGTTAAAACCGAATTTGGGGACTTTGGATGATGAACTGGGACCTCTAATTGGAATGGAGAATGTTCTTTCTCCTCAGTGAGCTCTAGAAGCTTAGTGGAGTCCTCCTACTGAGTTGGAGTTTTTACCTCCTCAGAATTCTCTGGAGGCTGTGCTGGGGACATTATGATGGGTTGGAAAACTGGTTCTGGAGTTAACGATATGCACATCAGCAGATTTAACTGTAACACTAGGCAAATTTGAAGGATGAGTTTGATTCTGTACATGGGGCAACACCTCGTGATTTGTGGTAGTTTGCATTCTAGCCACTGTAGGAGGCACTAGGGGTTGGCCTGGGGCCTCCTGCTGGTATACAAAAGACTCTGTCTCCTCAAGGAGCTTTGCAGACAGGCTGATTTGTACTTTCCAGGTTTACTGGGGAAGGCTTATCTTCTTCAGTGGGCTTTGTAGCCTGTACAGGAGCCTCCTGAGGGAATGGCACAGGTTTAACCCCCTCGAGAGAGGTTGGAGGCTGTGTTGGCATTTCTGATAGCACTGCAGAAGGTTCTGTTCCCTCACACTCTGGAGATGAGGCTGGACCTCCTGTTCCACTGGAGGTTTAACTTGTTCAGGTGGCCTTAGAGGTTCAGATAGACATGGCTGCTGGTTTGTAGAGAAGGTGATGGGGGATGAGCTGAAACTTCCAGTTGGATTGGAGAAGGTTAGGTTCATCCCAGGGAAGCCTGGAAAGAGGAACTCTTAGTCAGCTGGAGAAGGTTTAACCTCTTGGGGAGACTTTAGAGACATTGTTGGAGATTCTGTCCCCACAGGGAGCACTAGGGGGGAAACCTGAAGCCTCTTATTTGGACTGGAAAGGTCCCAGCCTTTACAGCATGCTTTGGAGCAGATATTGCACGTCCTTGCTGCCTTGAAGTGGGTTCTACTTTCTTGGGATGGCCTGGAAGAAAACCTTGGTCTTCTTGCTGGATTGCAAGGTCAACTTCCTCAAAGGGTTTTGGAGGTTGAGCTGGGCTTTATGTTGTATCGAAAGGGGTTCAGCGTCCACAGGGGGCTCAAGAGGTGAAACTGAGGGCATCCTCAGGGTACAAAGGATGAGCTGGAAACCCCTAGACTGCAGGCACAAATTTCCCAGGGTACTCTAGATTTGGCCCTTGGACTTCCTCCTGCACTCAAGGCTGACCTGGGAGCTCATATTGGCTTAGAATCTTTCGAGGCTGTGTTGCAACTTCTGGCCAGAATGAATTGTGAACTCCCTGAGGGTCTGGAAGCAGTGCTAGAACTCCTTGCTGCCCTGAAGATGTAGACCTCTCTGGACATGTTGTAGGTGGCCCTGGGACCTCCTGCTGGGTAGGAAAAGGCTTGAGTTCTTCAGAGGGCTTCAGGAGTTGAGCTGGAGCCTCTTACTGAACCCCAGAAGGTTCACCTTCGTCAGAAGGCTCTGGAAGGTGAGCAGTTGTCTCCTAGTGGATTGGAGGTTTAATCACGTGGGGAAGCTTTGGCTGCTGTGCTAAGACTACCTGCTGAATGGGACCCAATTGAACCTCCTTCAGGGGTTTCTGAGTTAAGGTAAACTCCACATCTGCTTGGTTAACTGTGACACTGAACTATAGTGAATGAGAAGTTGGATTCTGGTGTGGAGTTTGAGTTGTAGATGGATGCAGAGAGTGTTCCTGGGTTGGGCAAAGTTCACTCTCAGATGCCTCTGAAGGGTAAAACGAGGTCTCTAGTTGGAGTGCAGTTGGTTCCATTTCCTTAGGAGGATCTGGAGGCGACCTGAGAGCTCATGATGGATCAGATACAGATTGGTTGGCAGAAGGTGATCATCCTCCCCTAGAGGTTCAGTATTTTCCTCAGGGTGCTCTGGAAGTTTTATCTGTTGCCTGTAGATGTTCCAAAGGAGGGTGCACATACCTTCAGGTTGGATTGGTCA